AGCAATACCTCTACTTTTTTTTTTCAAAAAAAAAAAAGTCAAGCTAAAAATTAGGAGCTCTTGTTTTCGCGTGATACACATCAGATCAATGTAAAAAAGTTATGCATAATTGTAAAGTAAATCATTCATGAATAACAATATCGTTGGAATAACAGCGCCATCTATTAATCATGTTATGAATATGGAAGTACAAGTGTGACTTGATTTTTGAATGTGACACATCGATATAATGTCAAAAAACATTTTTATTAAGTTATTTCAAAAATCCATCCAGGAATGACATAGTAATTGAAATGACCATCAATGCACAATTTATGCAAAATATGCAAAGGTATGGACCACACTCAAAGTAAGGAATATGGAAGATGGCACTGTACAAATAATAATTCCTCTCAATTTTTCGTAGGGGAGGGGCATAAAATGCTGCTTTTATTTTAAGTATTGAAATTGACTGTTTTCTTTTGTGCAGAATGTATTAATGCATCTATACATATATTTTTGAGGCCCACACATGGAAGATTGGGTAACCAAATCTGTAGCCTCAGTAAATAAAGACTTTACTTACTTACTTACTTAAAACTTATTTAAATTGTGTTTTAAGTTTAATTGATATGTCCATTAAGGCTTAAATACCTTTTGCTATCCACTATTACAATTTTTTATGACTGTGATTTTATTCAGATATTTTGCACAACATTCATTAATAAATGCTCCTTTCATCAATGACAATAACCATTTCTCTTGTCTTTCATGTTAGATAACATAGTAGTCAAAGTTAAACTAAAGTTTATATTAAAATGTAATGAGATCGAATATCCGTTTTACAAATTTTGCTGGAAGAACATTATAAAAAAAATCTTTTCAAAAAGTATTTATCAATACAATATTTTTGTTTTCAAAACATATAAAATGCCATCACATAATTGTTAAACATATATTATAGAAAAAAAGCAAGTTGATGCACATTATATTTAATGGTTTAGGTGTTATTTTTCCCCACCGAGTTTTAAAACTCTAAGATATATGATAAGGTAAACTACTTTTAATGACTTGTCAAGCTATAATCAACTGATAAAAGACAGACAACTATGACATATTTTCATTCTACGATATGTATTAAGGCAACAAAATCTCAAAAATGTGTTTCCGTACCATTTTTTTGTGAAAATTTTAAATTGCGATGACATAATGTTTCTTTCTTCTTTAACCCATTACTTCATGAGCATTTTGTGAAAAATGGCTGTTTTCATTGAAAAGTCTCTCGTTACAAGTTCAAATTGCTATAATACTATAAAAACTGCTTCAACACTAATCCAACTTGGCACAAATGTTGACTGGACCATTGCTCTTGCAACAACATGCTCAGGCTTAAATTTTCTGTTACCATGGCAACGAGGGGACATCTCAAAATTGCCAAAAATCACTATTTTGCATTGATTTTTTTCCATCAAAATTGATTTCAAAGTGCTGCAACTTCTCAATGGATTGAGATAGAGTCAAATGCTTTTCAGCGTTGGTTACACGTTACCTTATGATCAATCTGGGGTCATTTATAGCCTCTCACAAGTCCAAAATTTTCTTGGGGATGAGGGGGACTCTGCCCCCTTCAAACCCCCCAAACAGGGGGCACATCCCCCTTCTGGCAACCCCCTATATAATGTATCTTTTGGTTGGGGGGCCGCGCCGAAAAAGAGGTCACTTTTTTTAACAACATTTCTCAAACAAAAACAAGTGTTGGGGGCCTAAATAAGGCATTTTTTCACCATTTGAGACAACAAAAGGGGGGGGGGTGAAAAAGGCGTGTATATAACGTAATGAGTTCACAGAAAATGATGAAAATACTTTTAATACCCTAAATCGCATTTTTTCATGTTTAAACATGGCCTGTCATATAAATTTGAAGAAAAATTGTTGTTTTGAAGATTTTTTGATTTTTTTCATTAACCCATTACTTCATGAGCATTTTGTGAAAAATGGCTGTTTTCATTGAAAAGTCTCTCGTTACAAGTTAAAATTGCTATAATACTATAAAAACTGCTTCAATACTAATCAAACTTGGCACAAATGTTGACTGGACCATTGCCCTTGCAACAACATGCTCAGGCTTAAATTTTCTGTTACCATGGCAACAAGGGGACATCTCAAAATTGCCAAAAATCACTATTTTGCATTGATTTTTTCCATCAAAATTGATTTCAAAGTGCTGCAACTTCTCAATGGATTGAGATAGAGTCAAATGCTTTTCAGCGTTGGTTACACGTTACCTTATGATCAATCTGGGGTCATTTATAGCCTCTCACAAGTCCAAAATTTTCTTGGCGATGAGGGGGATTCCGCCCACCTTCAAACCCCCCAAACAGAAGGGGGCGCATCCCCCTTCTGGCAACCCCCTGATGTATCTTTTGGATGGGGGGCGGCGCTGAAAAAGTGCTCACTTTTTTTAGCAACATTTCTCAAACTAAAACATGTGTTTTGGGCCCCAAATAGGACATTTTTTTCACTTTTTCAGACCTGAAAAAGGGGGGGGGGGGGTTCGAAAGTGCGTTGTTTCGCGTATATATGAGGTAAAGGGTTAAGAAAAATTAACATGTTTTCAGAACTAATGTTCATGTTTTTATGGGTGTCTTGATAACAAAAGATTCGTGGTTCGATTTGTGAATCACATGTGCTGAATCGTGGATCAGATAGGATCGTCACTTACCCGACGATCCACATCCCTACCACTGATGATTAGACACCTTGAATATCAAGATATTCTGATACCTTTCTAGTCCCAATAATTGCCAGTCAACTTGTATGACAGATGTTAATTACTCAGACTTGTTTTCTAATAGATTTTGATTACGCTCCTATATTGTATGAGATTATGCTTTACTCATAATCATTCTTATTGCCATAGTAATATTTGAAAATGAACATTATAATTTAAAATTAGTTTCACTTTGGATTTTCCGAGACATGGTGTCTGGTAATAAATACATGGGATATAATTACAGATGTTTACATTATAGCCCTTCTCTTTTGTTATGCCTTTTGAAAGTCACATGACAATCACAAACACTTAAGACACTGCAGCCCTGTTATAACACTCATTTTGGGGTCCAAGGTCTCAACACCACATTATAACAAGATTCTGATATATAACACTCATCGCAAAATTACTGCATTCCCCCCACCCACCGCAGATACATGTAACCCTAATGATTTTTACTTACCATTCAGTGAATATCTACATTATTTTTTTCTTAAACACTTTAATAATGTAAACATATACTATACTGTCAAAAAATACTAATTATATTTAAAAGAAACGAAAAACTTTCTTAAGAAAATCATAAATCACAAAAGTAAACAGTTACTGGTTTCCTAGCAGTTTCCGGCCCCTAGCAGTGTTCTGGCCCTTTATCACTTTTACTAAGTACAGTCTATTTTTACCAGTAAGGTTAGTAAGTTTCTTTGTCAAATCAGAGAGACATTCATTTCTATGCAACACAGCAGTTGAAATAGACTTTAATAGTACATCAATATATATGTTTTGAAGTTTTGCCTGTTGTTTGAAGTTACATAAGTGAACTTACAACATTAAAAATAAATAACACCTGGGGAATTCTAGCTTGATGCCCATGAGCAATAAATGAGTCCCCTTTCAATGTTAATTTATTCTTTTGAACAATATATTGCAAACTACATGGTAAAGGTCTGGATGTTCTATTTCTTTGATAAAATTATCTTAACATTGCTTCCTGGTAAAAAAAAAAGGTCTGAAAAACTGCTATGAAATTTTGCATAAAAGTAAGAAAAGGTGTTACATTTCAGGCAGTTCAGGCCTATGTTCCAATTAAAAAGTAAAGTAAAAGGGCAGCATTAAAAACATAAAAATGCTTGACAGGTACCTAACTTTGTTCAGTCAAAGTTTTGTACTTGTCGGCAGACAGATTTTTATTTCACTTTTTAAAAGGTGTGATTTGGGAATATTTCATCATCTTCAGTGACCTTGACCTTGCATATATTGACCTTAATTAAAAGTGTGACAGATGCTGTCAAATAATGACAATTTGAATAAATGATGACTAAATGGTCCCTATACAAATTTTCATATTTTTATTTGAACTTTGACCCCTAAATGTGACCATGACCTTAGCCACAGGGGCCTGAATTTTACACATGACACTCCATCTTACAATGGTGAACATTTGTGCAAAGTTATATTGAAATCCCTCTATGCATGTAGAAGTTTTGCTCCAGACCAGCATTTTTCAATGAACTCTATGTGTGGCCTTGACTTTAACCTAGAGATTTTGTTCATCCCTATGACACGGCTTCTCATAATGGTGAACATTTCCATGATGTTTAATCAAAATCTCACCATGCATGTAGGAGGACAAAAAGTGGACAACAGCCATCCCAGCGGCGTTCCATGAATACAATCCGTTTTTTCAAAAGGGCGTATAAAAAATATGGATTTAAAATATGCAAAATTTCTTGCACTTTTTGAAAGAATAAAATAATTTGTAATACAACTCTTCTTGTAAGAATCTACTTCTGATCATGAATAATAATTCTAGCATGTTTGCAAATCTACTTTTTATATATAAAGAAATGACTTTTTTGCAAGTCACATTGTTGGTGAAAAATGACAAAATATGCACTTCAATGTTCTTTGTTTTGATTTATTGAACTTTAACTGTTGCTCTAACTATATGCAAACTGGAAATAATAAAATGTGACTTTTCTAGAAACAATGTTTTCTTGACTATGATACACAATGTAGGACATGTATATAAATTCATTTTTTAATTAAAGCATGAATAAGTTACCTAATGTGACTAACTCACATTGGTAGCCATGTTGATAGAAAAATCCAGTTTTCAGCTTCTAGTCCAGTATTGGCCCATTTCATTTGTCTTATACATGCAATGTAATGAAAATGGTTAACAGAAATAATGCAGCAACACAGTATTAAAATTTTGAATGTTAACAACATGGTTTGAAATACTTACTTTAAAAGTATAGGACACATTTTGATTGGATTCTAACTCATTAACAATGACTTTTACATTACATGTTTCTTCAGTCTTGCTGTTAGTTTTCACAATAGTACACTCAATCCTGAAATAAAATGAAAAGAAGTATGAGGGCCGTCCATAAAGTTTTGGACAATGGCTGTAAATAAAAATATAATGCCCATGCTTAAAAATATTTTGCACATGTGTATCTCCATCAATTTGAAGTAGAAATAGAAACATTATCTCAAGAAAGTATTCATATATTTAATATAAAAGCATTAATTCAGACATGAGGTGTGCGTATGCTGCCCGAGCCAAAAATCCTCATTTTACAAATATAACACAGTCATGATCTTCAAAATAAAGTAAGTGATCAATAACATAATAAATCTGTGTAGTGTAATGATGTTGACATTTACCCTATGCCTGACACTATATGCAGAATTTTCAAGGAAATCAAATGACATACAGTACAGATAACGAGGAATATGCAAAATCCTCGGAGGATCGAGGAAAACACTCGCAACTCCGCGAGAGTATTTGTCCATAAAAACGAGTGACTCCGCGTGAGAAACGTGTGATGAGAGTGACTCCGAGACGAAAATAAAAGCGCGTGACTCCGAGAGAAAATTAACGCGTAACTCCGTGTCGGTGTCTAGCTGGTGTAAATAAATGCAAGTGCAATTTAATTTTTTTTCGAAAATAATAAAGATGATTTTTACCGTTGTTGTTTTCAATTTACCCTGAAACAGTTGAAAGGTACATTTGATTAGAAAAAATCACTACCGCAAGCGTCATCAGTTCTCAAGTTTATTTTTATCCCGATTAATTAGGTCAGTAGCAATAACCACAGGAACCCGAAATTCTATCAAAAACAAAAAACGATTAAAATAATCCATATAATAACGGCCCAGCTTTTTTTTATACTTCTTTAAGAATTGAATTTATTATATAAACTTCATTAATTAATCTTAAATGTCTGTCTTGTCCAATTAAATCACTGCGACAGTTCCTCGAGAAAAAAAGCTATACAACTTCCTTTTGACGAAAATAATCTATGTAGTTATAATTTATGAAATTTCTATATTTTTTGTATGTTTATTTATACATCATCGTATTTTTGTTTAGATGTAAATGTTTCTAAATGCATTGCATCAAATACCGATAACGTGCCGTTCTAATTATTTCAGGTGCCACATATTGTATTGTGTTTTTTTTTCAATGTGGAAAATGAGTTTCGATCTTCATAATATTTTAATCATTGATAACATGTGCACATAAAAAAATTGACTTTCCCAACTTTTATATTGGTTTGTATAGTTTCAAAAATTGTCATGATGCATGTACGTTCCTTCATACATCCATTGTTTACATGTATTTTAGTTACGTGTCAACTTGTCACGTCCGCCGTTTTTAACATTGATTTTAATTAGAAGACACTTGATTTATATATAATTTTTGAAAATTAACATTAACCTAATCGTTTCTAAATAAAGCTGCATGTTAGTAATATATTGTTGTTAACCTAATCGTTTCTAAATAAAGCTGCATGTTAGTAATATATTGTTGTAATTTTATCCGACAAATCTGTCGATCTCATTCTGTTATCAAAGTCATATGTAGATGTATGTTGATATTGGAATCAAAAGTAAATTGTCTTGTGATGATCATTAATAAATTAAGATTTTTGTTGTTGTTTTTTTATTTCAGGCATTATGGAGGAATTCAAGTTATAGAGGAGTTAACAAATTGCAAGTTGACAGAGGCCGTTCAACTTACCTAGTGCACTGCTCCCGTAATTCATTCACCTGTAATCAGCTTTACAAAGATTGACAAAAAATAAAAACAGCAAAGAATAAAATGATCATTTTATTTGCTTGTTTTCCTTTTCTTTTTGCTTTATTTGTTTATGGTGTGTACATCGTCTATATCATGTCATTTTATAAAAATAAAAAACAGTTTTGACAAAGATTATTCTACTTCCGATTTCACGTACATGTACTGTTCATAGACGATAAATTAAAACAATATTTTTATTATAGCATATGAACATATTTGACCGTCACAGAAAGCGGGCATGCATTGTACATGTACGTATGTGGATTTAAAAAGACCGGGATGCCTTTAAAAATCACTGCCAATCTCAATTTTCTTGTTGCTGTTTTATAATTCATGGTTTTATGTTTGAGACGACGCAGTGCCTGTTGTTTTCCCCCTGCAAACATCGGTAGAATTTCATAAATGAATTCCTTAATGATGTCCTTTCTTGTGCTGCCAACATCGGTAGAATTGCTTAGCAGATCGAACTTCTTAACTCTGTTAGAACTATATTGTTCTGAAAGCAATAGTAAAATAAATTAATACATTAATATTAAAAGCAGGGCTGTACATGCCGACATAGGGTGTCGCTGTTTTGGCTAGTGCATTGTATGGAATGATGTATTACATCTCGTATTTCACGGATTTTTTATCAACCAACAATTAAAAGGAGACGTACGTGTACTTCACATGGAAATCAGTTTGGTATCATTTATGTAACTGGTACCAATTTATCTAAAAGCCTGACTTAAAAGTATAAAATTACCTTTTTCAGAAGTTTACTTTCCAAGGCAGATGCATTTCACTGAAGAATAATTTGTAAACTGTCTTAAAGAAAATGTTGTTTTTTTATTCAGTTCTGGTACAAAGTATAATTTCCCTTACGATAGTATGTCAATGGAATGAATCGACCTAAGCACGTGGTTGTTTTGCCATGTATTTCCTTTTTTTTTCTTCTTTTTTTGCTTACATAATAATTATAAATTTGTATAAACAATGCAAAAAAGAAGCTCATCTATATTTTCTTATTTTAGAATACTAAATTAAATAGGTTTTTGACACTGCGCGTTACGGGAATTGCGGGAAATCATCGGTTATTCTTTCCTTTAATTAATTAATGAATCAAGTGTGTCTACTTTCGTTTTCACTTGTGATACTTTACATCAACGAAGAATTTTCGACAACATTGTTATTTTGAATAAATAATACATGCGTTGAAGGATTTTATTTTAGAGGTAGAGCATTATATTAATAAATAAATAAATAAATAAAGCATACGTGTACCAAATCAGTCTTATTTTCTCGGAGTCACTCTTTTTGACTCCGAGATTCACGGAGTCCCGCGGACAAAATTGTCACTCGTTTTTGTCTCGGAGTCACTCTTTTTCACCCGAGAAATTTATAATCCACTCGGAGTCACGCTTTTTGAGATTACTCGATACTCGCAGGAATTTGCACATTCCTCGATATCTGTACTGTATATGATTACAGTGCATCTTTTACTTCATATAGTTGATACAGCCAAGCAGATAGTTATTAATTTTTGCTTTAAGTGCTGAATGACAGTTAGGGTCATGTGAAAGAAGTTAAAAACTGTGGAAAAAGAAACATTGAAATAATACCATGTAGTGTAATTTTGACATTGGATTGTGGGCAGCATTGCGTTATTAGATAGTCATATAACTTGTTTTGTGTAATCAAATTAAATGATATATAGCTGATTTTTTGCATGTTCACTCAGCGATAGCATATTTAATATCAGTAAAAATCTTTAAGAAGCCTGTTGAGTATTTTGTATTTGAACGCTGTTGTACATGACTCAATGGGACAGCCCTCGTATATACCACAATATGATCTGTACTTATCCAGGCTTGGGGTAATGATACTGGTTATGGTAATGCAGTAGGAATGCATTACTTTTGTTGAGTGTAATGCAATGTAATGATACTGCATGCCAATTTGCATCAATACTTGTAATGGTACTGGAATGCAAAATTCAGGCAATGAACGTGCATTACTATGCATTACTTCACCAAACTTACTACATCATATATGGTATGGATGATCCAAAGAACAAAAGATAAAATTGTGATGGCCTCAATCAGTCAAATAAAATATAAAATCATGAAAATTCAATGTCCCCTCTCACTTATGTCTGCAATGATTTATAACATAAGTATTTATTGTACTTGCAGGCATGTACATTGTTCAGTGTAGAATGGGGATTAAATGATGATACATGTATTTTATACACCTTTATGAAAAGCCCTGCTACCATGCAAGATAAAATTACTATTTGACACTTGCCTTTGTTTGACTATTGGGCACAGATGTAGGACAAAACCCCAATTTAGGGTAAACATTCATTAATCTTAATTAGCATTAATTATTCAAGGTGTCAATAATTTCACTTACTTTATTTTCAGTCAAAGGTCTATACATAATAGTAATAAAGTGTTGGTTTGTGTCCACTATATAAAATTGAAGGTGTGGGGTTTTGTCCACTCTATAAAATTCAAGGTGTGGGGTTTTGTCCACTCTATAAAATTTAGGTGTGGGGTTTTGTCCACTCTATAAAATTCAAGGTGTGGGGTTTTGTCCACTCTATAAAATTTAGGTGTGGGGTTTTGTCCACTCTATAAAATTTAAAGGTGTGGGGTTTTGATGTGTGCGGTTTTGTTCGTCTTCCATTGGGCACATTAGCACTTATTTGGAGTTTTCATTGTTACATTATGTCAAGCTGTCATGTGCCAGACTAATTATCACAAAATGCATAGTCACTATTACTGACTTAAAATACAACTTTAAGCAAATTCAGTTTGGTTGTATTTTTATGTAAAGGTTAAACACAGAGATGAATATTTAGAAATTTAATAATATATGTAACAAATGTACATGATTAGTTTGATTTTTTGTAAATATATGCTACACAACATCTTAGCTTGGCAAAAAGAAATTGTCTTATGCTCAAAAGTAATGGTAATGATACTGCATTACATGCCCAAAATCAAGTAATGGTACTGGTACTGCACTGAACCCCAAAGTAATGGTAATGGAATGCATTCCTTTTGCAAAGTAATGGCCCCAAGCCTGTCGTTATCACATAAATATGTTTTCAATATATAAAAGCTACAATAAACATAAAAACAAGAGCCATCGCTGGGCAGGGGCAATGCTTGACCTTTTCACTTTTTCTAAAAGCAAACAAATAAATTAATTTAAAAATTATAACATTAAAGGGGTGAAATTAAAAAATTGTTGGCAAGAGGGTTTGATACAAACTAACCAGGTGACCTCTGCCATAAATTAGATGTTGTTAAATGTTGTAAAACTAGGACAACTGTTGTTGTTTACATCACGTGTAAAGAGGATTTCAGCAATATACATGCACATCAATATCAAGGTGAGAAAGTGCCCATGGTCATATTTATGGGTTTTCAAATGTACAGAATTTAAGAAACTGGACTGAATGGACCTTTCCAGTTTTTCGTAGCGGAACATTTAACCACACCTTTTCCAATCATTGCTAGGTCAACCGCTCATAAACAGAATCACAAACATAACCATGTGTTCTTTTGTGCAAACCAGGTCAACCGCAGTGACTATGTATTATCTCAGTGTAGCAATTGGATAACAAGTTGGCCAATTTACATAAAACTGTAAACACTGGAAAGGTTCATTTACTGGTCGTATTATGAAAAACGGATTGGTCTAAAAAGAATGTTGGAGACCAGAATAAAAGAAGAATCTATGTTTGATAAACACAAATGCCCCCGCACTCACTGTTGTCAATAATTCAACTTTAGAGAGTGAAGAAGCTTATTTGTATGGAAGAAAACCAATCATGTGTAGAAATCTGTAATTGGCACCCTTGACCTTGACCAACTGACCCCTACCTCTATCAAAAGGAAGAATATCATGCAAGTTATTTTCCTACCAAATATGAAATAAATCTGTCAATAAATAAAGGCTGTATGGTCTAGTGTAAAAATTCTATTTTTAGCACTGTTGACCTTGACCCAACTGACCCCTAACTCCATCCAAAGGAAGAATACCATGTAAGTTATCTTCCTACCAGTTATAATACAAATCTGTCAAGAAATAAAAGCTGTATGAGCAAAAGTGTAAAAATCTATTTTTAGCACTGGTGACCTTGACCCAACTGACCCCTACCTCCATCCAAATGAAAATACCTGAATTTTATGTTCCTACAAAATATACAAGACATCTGTCGATAGAATAAGGTTAATACACCTGTAAAGGTGTAAAAAATCTATTTTTGACATTGGTGACCTTGACCTAAATGACCCCTTACTAAAGGAAAAGGAAGAGGACCTCCCTTGGTATGACTATTATAAACATGAAAGACATTAACTTAAAAATAAAGGCTGTATGAGCATAAATGTTTAGATTTATTTTTTTACACAAGTGACCTTGACCTTGACCTAGAGACGCCTAACGCCATAAAAAATTAGAGGACCGTTAAAGGTATCCACCTACCAAATATGAAAGATATCATTAAATAAATTATGTAATTAGGTGAAATTTATTGATAAATCCAACTTGGCGGAATAGGTTAACCATACAAAGCCCTATTTTCAAAGTGATAAAAAGGGAAATTACTGGGAAAATGGATGGCACATTTATATAACTTGGCAATATCATGTACATTGTATTGATAAGTAAGTGTGAAAATTATTAAGCCATTAAGAACATAAGATATTTCCAACTTGCCGGTTTAGGTTAACCATTATTCATTTTCTAAGTGCTGAAAAGGGCCATAACTTGGTGCAAATGGAAGCCATAGTTATTTAACTTGCCCAGATCATATACTTTGTATGGATAAGTAAGTGTGTAAATTATGAAGCCATTGGTACAGGTAGAACTTAAGAAAAATCCAACTTGCCGTTCTAGTTAACCTCGTACAGACAGACGGTTCAATGACTATATGCCCGGGGCATAAAAAATCGGATCATTCTTATTAGTGGGTTGGTCTAGAAAACTGGGTGGTTGTAAAGCGGGTTTTTACTGTATTTATAAATATACATATATATATAGTCAATAAATGCACAAATCAGTGAAAATTCAATAGTCAATATCTTTAAAGAGCCAAGGTCAATTTGAGTTGGATAAACATGGAGGTCTTATCCTAAAGAATGTTATGTTATAATATGAAGCCAATCCATTCAATAATAACAAAGTTACAGCCAGTTACAGCCAAAACAAGAGCCCTGTTTGAGCCGGGTAATGCTCCCCAAATAGGTTTTGGACACAGGAAAGTACACCTCTTGTAGTTTCAGAGTAATGTCCCTGGAAAAAGTTCAAAGTGCAATAATTCCAAAATTAGGCAAGGCAGAGTTACTGTTCTTTGCACTGCACTTCTAATCAATGTGATCTATCAACCTACAAAGTTTCTTGATGATATCTCTTATGATTTTCGAGTTATGTCCCAGACAACTTCAAAAAGTAAAAATAAACAAAGGGCAATAACTCCAGAATTAGGCAAGGCAGAGTTATGATTCTTGTGCACTGCACATCTACCCATTGAGATATATCTACCTACAATGTTTCATGTTGATATCTCCTGGAGAGTTACACCAGTACTAGACTACCTTCCTCTGTGCTAAACTACCAAAGCATCTCCAGGGAATCGAAACCACGCCAGAGAGGTAACTGGATTAGAAGTCATCAACACTAACCCCTCGACCACAGAATAATTTGACCTTCAAAGTCAAAGTCATTTATGTTTGTTTGTTTGTTTGTTTTGGGTTTTACGTCACATCGACACAGTACAGGTCATATCGCGACGTTCCAGCTTTACTGGTGGAGGAAGACCTCAGGTGCCCTTCCTTGCATTATTTCAGGCACGAACGGGCACCTGAGTAGAACCACCGACGTTCCGTAAGCTAGCTGGATAGCTTCCTCACATGAAAGAATCCAAAGTCCCTGTAGGGATTCGAACCCACAGCGGTGAGGGGCAAGTGATAAGTCATTTATGAGTGAAGGTCAAAGTCTGTCTGGTTCACTTAAAGAGCTGCTCTGAAGATTACTATATTCAAGTTTCAAGACAATCCATTCAAAAATAACAAAGTTATAGTCAAACAAGCAAAATTTGGACATTTGACCTTGAAGGTCAAGGTTATTTATGGATGAAGGTCAAGGTTAGTCTGGTCAAAGGTCTTATCCCAAGAGTAGTTGTGGCCAAGTATGAAGAAAATACACCAAGAACTTAAAAAGTTATGATCAAGGTACAAGTTTGAGGCAACGCCGCCAGGAATTTAACAATACCTCTACTTTTTTTTTTTTTCAAAAAAAAAAAAAAATAATAAAAATTGAGCTAAAAATCATGTATGGATCATTTCAATAAATAAATGACAAAGTTAAGAAATATAAGCAAAGGGTTATTTTGAAGATAATTCATTAACCAATTACAAAGTTACAGTCAACTATAGCAGAAATCAGTGAAAATTCAATAATTTGATACATGAGTCAAATAAATTGTTGAGTTTGATATATATGCAGAGGCCCAAATTCCAGTTATAAATTTATATTTCTATATATTTAACTAAATTTTCTTAAAATTTACACTGGACCGAAATAATTTTCACTGGCCATGGGCCACCGGGCTAGTGCTTAATTCGATGACTGTATATGAAGGCATTATCTCAAAGAATGTTTTGTCTAAAAATGAAGTTAATCAGTATATAAACAAGGGGGCCATGGCCCAAGAGCACTCACCTGAGGACAGACTGTTTTTGTGTAAAAGCAGGGACAGCTAGTGTTAATTACTAGTGTTTATTAAAAGACTTTGAACGATGTTGGTCACTAGACCATACTTCATGCAAAATATATTCTGAAATGTGTACTATATACATGTTCCTAGTCCCATAGCTGTAAATCAAAACAAGAAAGTAAATCACTAGGTCAATATTTTGGTCATCTGATATCAAATTTCATGACTCTCTACACCCAAAATTCAAAGTCAGTCTGGTCAATTTGAAGGAACATTCTAAATATTGTTATGTCCAAGTATCAAGACAATTCATTGATTAATAATAAAGCAATAGCCACTTTGGTACATTGTTTTGGATATATTTAAGTTTTTTTGGGGGCATAGTTCTGTCTTACTGTAAGAGTTATGAAACTTGACACTTACAGCTGTGTTGCGACATTGCTTTGATGCGCCCAGTTTCAAGTTTTTGGGAGTATTCATATACATGTAGTCATATAAGCAAAATAGAATTTCTTTAAACTTGGCATGTTGTTAGAAAAATTATTATGATAACAAACATTTTAAGAGAAAATAAATTTAAGGTCACTGTTCTCGTTTCTGCGTTAACGTTTTTGAGAACAATGTCTTCAATGCTGCATCTCACACTGTGCACATGTTCCAAATTTTATGGCTGTACATCAAAGGACAAAAAAATTAGCTGTGTCCCCTTGGGCATGCCAAAATTTTGACACAAAGGCTTTAATTTAAACAAGACCGTCTGAAAGACAGATAAATCCCCTTCTGCAGCGGACATGAATGTGTATTTCCTGACCGTTAACCAACCATGACCTTGATATTGTACTATGCATATTATAAGCACATAGTCTCATGATAGTAATTTTTTGTGCCTTCTGTAAAGTCAAAAAGTTAAGGAGAACATTTAACCTTGACCTTGGGGGTAGCAACCTTGATGTTGGGTTCTGCACCTAATGTCATAATGGTGATCAAATCTGCCAAGTTATCTTAAAACTATTGCAGTGATTTAAATGTTATGGAGCAGACACGAAATGTAGACTTTTTAACACTTCACCTTTAGGTGTGACCTTGACCCTGGGGTAGCAACCCAATTATTGCACTCTGCACATCATCTCATAAAAGTGATCAGTTGTTATATCAAAAACATTTCTGTGGTTAAAAAGTTATTGAGTGGGGAAGAAAGTATTACAGATGGACTGACCTCCGGCCAAACAGACAGCTGGATGTCCTGCCAATTGGAATAAGGGGCCATTTCTTTTGTTATTTTCTTTTGTTTAATAGTAGGCCATTGGCTTCTTACTCTATTGTTACGGAATGAACTCTGTTGTTCTCTTTTTTTCTGTTAACAGTTAGATAGCCACCTATACTTATTCGGTCACGCAGACAGACGGATTCCTTTTATCCCTCCCTTCTACCCAGAAGGGGATCTAAGCTCTTACTTTCTCCTATAATAGCTATTTTTACTATACTTAACAAAATGAAAATCAATGACCCTGGGGTGGGGCCAATTTTGACCTGGGGTCTATTATTTGAACAATCTTGGTAGAGGTCCACAACACAATGTTTCATGCCAAATATATAACCTCTTGACTTTGTCAATTCAGAGAAGATTTTTTAAGTTTTTACTTTATACATATAAGGAAAATATTTAACGCCCTAGGCGGGGCCAATTTGGACACCAAGGACAAAATTTGTAAAAAAACTTTGGTAGAAGATCTACTGTATACTTAATATCAAAACACTGGGCCTTGTACTTTCAGAATAGAAGATTTTTAAAATTTGCATTTCTGAAACTCCTTTCTTGGCCCTGTGACCTACTTATGCAATAGACTAGAATTGTTTGAACAACTTCAAAAGGGAACCATCCAGGGATCATTCCTATAAAGTTTGGATACTGTGCAGTCATTGGTTTCAGAGATGTTTAAAGTAATTGTTGACAATGCAAGACGACTGGGCACAAACGGTGGTGGATCACAATAGCTCATCATGAGCATGTTGTGCTCAGGTGAGCTAAAAATGTCAAGGTACAGAAACCTATTGAAATATAATACTCACCTATTTGGAACATCTAATTCAAAATCATCGTTTTCAGGAAAACTTATGCTTGTGCTTACATTACATGTATATGTGCCAATTTTAACACTATCTATCTGAGACAATGTAGTTCCCAAATTTGTTCCATTTATTGTTACAGTAGTATTACCACCAACAGGTCCATCACTTGGTGATATCTGCAATAAAAAATACAAATTTCATCCTATTTTAAACACGAAATGAGTCATTACATGACTTTTCAAACACAAATTATTTTACTTAATTTGATAAATTCAATGTTTACATCTTTCTGGTCACCATAGCTGTTTTATACAACAATGCTCAGGAATACAAAAGATCATACAAAGCTGTCAAAGAAAATTGTCCTCAAATCGAAATTCAGTTTGGCATAAAGGCAATTTTTCATTAATGTTAAAGGGAATCCACTGAGGTTTTTTGACATGACGGGACTAAAAATAATTTTTTTAGATAAATGTTCCATTTGATGCCGGTATAGACCAATTATTTCAAATCAGTCAATGTTTCCAGAATAATTATTAATTAACAGTGGAAAATGACCCCTTTGCCCTATTTGATCGGAAAACCAAAATTCTAGAGGCCTTTAAATCCACTATGAAAAAGTCCAACATGCTTGCATGAGGTGTATCTTTCATTGAATCCACACCACTTTTAAATTTCTGACACCACCATGTGACAGATGAACAAGAGCACTACTAGGCCTATATGCCCGAAATGTTTTGTTTTTTTATTAAGGATGAAGCATTTGTAAGACATGGAAATTAAATAAAGTATTACCTCCTTCAAACAGCAATACTCCTATATGAAGTTTGAATATTGTGGGCCAAATGGAACTTTAGTTATGCTCCGGAAACTGTTTTCAGTTTTAAGGTAATAGTGACCTTGAACTTTGATGTTGTGACCCCAAAATCTGTAGGGGTGTTCTACTCGATATAGACAATCATCCTATGAAGTTTGACACTGTGGGCCAAATGTAACTTAAGTTAGGGTATTGAAACTGTTTTCAGTTTTAAAGTAATAATGACCTTGACCTTTGACCTTGTGACCCCAAAATCACTAGGGGTCTTCTACCCAATATGGACAATCATCCTATGAAGTTTGAACACTTTGGGCCAAATGGAATTTAAGTTATATTCTGGAAACTGTTTTCAGTTTTAAGGTAATTAGTGACCTTGAACTTTGACCTTGTGACCCCAAAATCAATAGGGGTCTTCTACCAAATATGGACAGTCATCCTATGAAGTTTGAATATTGTGGGCCAAATGGATTTTAAGTTATGCTCCAGATACTGTTTTCAGTTTTAAGGTGATAGTGACCTTGACCTTTGACCTTGAGACCCCAAAATCAATAGGGGTCTTCTTCCCAATATGGACAATCATTCTATGAAGTTTGAACACTGTGGGCCAAATGGAACTTAAGTTATGTTCTGGAAACTGTTTTCAGTTTTAAGGTAATAGTGACCTTGACCTTTGACCTTGTGACCCCAAAATCAATAGGGGTCTTCTACCCAATATGGACAATCATCCTATTAAGTTTGAAAATTGTGCGCCAAATGGAACTTAAGTTATGCTCCGGAAACCAAATTGCTAACGGACGGACAGATATACCAACTTTTGATATTTAAGAGGCAAATAAGCTCATAAACTACACCTGTTCATAAGCTGAATTTAGCTCAAAAAAACAAAAAATAGCTCACAATATGAATTCTATGAGTTTTTGTTCTTTACTTAACTACGGACGCAAGGGGGTATAACATAAAATGCCCGAAATTTTTTCGGGCATATAAAAAGAAAGTTCATTGTTCCTATAAACACAACATAGTTTCAACTGTTGTTAAGGCTTAAAAAAAGGATATATCCTCACAAGCATTTGTATAGTTAGAAGCCATTGGTACAAATTGAACTTAAGATTGCATGCAGAAAAAAAAGTAAAAGAACAAGGTAAACTGACAGACAGACCACTCAGTTACTAAGAGCATCACTTTTAAGATATAAAATAACAACAACAAATTTAGTAGAATAAATCATACAAGACTGTACCTTTTCTATAAATGGAGCTGGACAAGCCTTATGGCTGCTGCAGGTTTTTATATGTTGGCAACTATTAGGACACCATCTACATTTATATCGTGAAGTGTTCAAACCTTTACAATGACTGCAGTCTTTAGCAAGATTGTCACAACTGTATACTGTAACTGAAAATTAGAAGAAGAAAAAATGACATTACTTCATGCAATTGTCACGGTTCAGTTTAATTTACAGTCACGGTTCACTTTAATTTACATTTCTCTATAACTCTGTGAAATTCGAGGACGAATTTCAATATAGCAGCAGAGTATGTCACTGTGTTCAGAACTGTTCACTAATTAGGGGAGAAAATGTGTATGCAGCCCAATAGCTTAGTACGTATAGCCGTGGAACTGTATTCCGAGGGTTCCGGGTTCCAGTCCTGGTAAAGCTGCACAATTTTCTCACCCTGTGACACAATAATTAAGGAAAAACTAAAATATTGTGGTAGATTAAGTCATACAATCAATTTTAATATCATATTAAAACTTTCACACATAACTAGTTCAGAAACTTTAGATACCAGAATCTCTCCCTCTCAAATAGGCAACTGAATTAAAATAGAACCAAAACCTTGCTTTATACCATTATACCACTTTGTTTAGTAAGTCTAAAAGGCAAGTTAAAACTCTATATTATCAAAACAAGAGAAGAGGGCCATGATGGCCCTGAGTCGCTCACCAGAAACACTGCTTTTCAGTGTTGGAATGTCAATATATTCTAATATTAAATTTGAGCAAAGAATATGTTTAAACAATAATTTGAAGAAATGCCATGACCTGGGGCATTTAAGCTTTAGCTTAAACGGGGATAATCAAATTAATATGACCAAACATGATAAAAAGACTACCTAAGAATGCTACAAAGTTTGGTGATCATCTATCATAATCAATTATTTCAGTAGGAAATGATGTTCGAAGGTTTTTTTTTCTATTTTTAGCTTTAGTGGCCCCGAAAAGGGACTAATCAAATTAATATAAGCAAACTTGATAAAAGAGTACCCAAGATTGCTACAAACAAAGTTTGGTGATCATCCATCAATTGGTTCTGAAGTAGAAGATGTTTAAAGGTTTTCTATTTTTAGCTTTAGCGGTCCCTAAAAGGGGCCAATCAAATTAATGTGAGCAAACTTGATAATAGATTACCCAACAAGGAACATCGCAATGCGATGCAACCAGGTTTTCAGCAAAATATTTCACAGAAGCTTTGTCATGAAGGGGCATTTGTTTTTAATTGAACTTTTAGGAGGAATTATGGCTTTTTTAATATTCCTCAAACAAAAATGATTGAGAAATTTTATGTTGTCTATTCGCCTTTTTTTCCCAAATGTTTTAGAAAGGTAAACAGTACTTTATTTTTGCTTAATTTTTGCATTGTGGTGTTTTGTGCGATATCAAGAAAAGTATGTTCACAATTTTAAAAAAATACTTGAATGATGTCTTGGAAGAAACATGGGAATTTAGTGAGCGCCAGGGCACTTGATGACAAAGCTTCTGTGAAAGTTTGGTCAAAATCCATTGAGAAATGTAGGAGAAGTTGCGCACTGTAGAAATTGTTCACTATATATTCTGTATAAGGAAAAAATATACAAAGGGCCATAATTCGGTCAAATATTATCCAATCACAAAACCCCGACAATATGTGCCAGGCACTTGAAAACAAAGCTTCTAAGAAAGTTTGGTCAAAATCCGTTGAGAAATGTAGGAGGAGTTGAGCACAGAAGAAATTGTTCTCTATATATTCTGTATAAGGAAAAAATATACAAAGGGCCATAATTCGGTCAAATATTATCCAATCACAAAACCCTGACAATATGTGCCAGGCACTTGATAACAAAGCTTCTAAGAAAGTTTGGTCAAAATCCGTTGAGAAATGTAGGAGGAGTTGCGCACAGAAGAAATTGTTCACTATATATTCTATATAAGGAAAAAAAACAAAGGGCCATAATTAGGTCAAATATATACCAATTGCAAAACCCTGGCAATATGTGTCAGGGCACTTGATGACAAAGCTTCTGAGAAAGTTTGGTCAAAATCCGTTGAGAAATGTAGGAGGAGTTGCGCACAGAAGAAATTGTTCACTATATATTTTATATAAGGAAAAAAAAAACAAAGGGCCATAATTAGGTCAAATATTATCTAATCGCAAACCCCGACAATATGCGCCAGGGCACTTGATGACAAAGCTTCTGTGTGAAAGTTTGGTCAAAATCCGTTGAGAAATGTAGGAGGAGTTGCGCACAGAAGAAATTGTTTACGCCCGCCCGCCCGTCCGCCCGCCCGCCCGACCGCCGACATACCTCAATCTAATAACCAGTTTTTTCCTTCGGAAAACCTGGTTAAAAAAGCTACAGACAAAGTTTGGTGATCATCCATTCATTAGTTCTGTAGGAGAAGATGTTTAAACGTATTTTTATTTTCAATTTTAGCGCCCTAAAAGAGGCCAATCAAAATAATATGAGCAAACTTGATAAAAGACTACCCAACAATACTACAGACATAGTTTGGTGATCATCCATCCATTAGTTCTGTAGAAATAGACATTTAATGGTATTTCTATTTTTAGCTTAAGTGGCCCCTAAAAGGGGCCAATCAAATTCATATGAGCAAACTTGATAAAACACTACCCATGAATGCTACAGACAAAGTTTGGTGATCATCCATCCATTAGTTCTGTAGGAGAAGACATTTAAAGTAGGAGAAGACATTTAAAGGTATTTCTATTTTTAGCTTTTGCAGGCCCCTAAAAAGGGCCAATCAAAATAATATTAGCAAACTTGATAAATGACTACCCAACAAAGCTTCAGACAAAGTTTGGTGATCATCCATCAATTAGTTCTGTAGAAATAGACATTTAATGGTATTTCTATTTTAAGCTTTAGTGGCCCCTAAAATAGGCCAATCAAATTAATATGAGCAAACTTGATAAAACACTACCAAAGAATGCTACAGACAAAGTTTGGTGATCATCTATCAATTAGTTCTGTAGGAAAAGACATTTAAACGTTTTTCTATTTTTAGCCCTAGAGACCCCTAAAAGGGGCCAATCAAATTTATATGAGCAAACTTGATAAAAGACTACCTAAGAATGCTACAGACAAAGTTTGGTGTTCATCCATCAATAAGTTCTCTAGAAATAGACATTAAACGGTATTTCTATTTTTAGCTTTAGCGGCCCCTAAAAGGGGCCAATCAAATTCATATGAGCAAACTTGATAAAAGACTACCCAAGAATGCTACAGACAAAGTTTGATGATCATCCATCAATTAGTTCTGTAGAAGAAGATGTTTAAAGGTTTTTCTATTTTTAGCCCCAGAGACCCCTAAAAGGGGCCAATCAAATTTATATGAGCAAACTTGATAAAAGACTACCTAAGAATGCTACAGACAAAGTTTGGTGTTCATCCATCAATAAGTTCTCTAGAAATAGACATTAAACGGTATTTCTATTTTTAGCTTTAGCGGCCCCTAAAAGGGGCCAATCAAATTCATATGAGCAAACTTGATAAAAGACTACCCAAGAATGCTACAGACAAAGTTTGATGATCATCCATCAATTAGTTCTGTAGATGAAGATGTTTAAAGGTTTTTCTATTTTTAGCCCCAGAGACCCCTAAAAGGGGCCAATCAAATTAATATGAGCAAACTTGATAAAAGACTACCCAAGAATGCTACAGACAAAGTTTGGTGATCATCCATCAATTAGTTCTGTAGAAGAAGATGTTTAAAGGTTTTTCTATTTTTAGCTCTGCTGACCCCTAAAAGGGGCCAATTGGAATGACATGAGCAAATTCAAGTGTGACTGTCACAAGGATGCTACAGACCAAATTTGAAGTAAATCTGCTTAGTAGTTTCAGAGAAGAAGACGATTGTTGACACATGACGACGGACGCCGGAGCATCCCCCTTTGATACTAATAGCTCACCCTGAGCCTTCGGCTCTGGTGAGCTAATATGTAATAGGAATCAATCAGCAGTTGAAGCCCCTGTTATACAAACCAGTCATGATTGTAGCAAAAATACCTCTATCTCAACTACTTTGTAAGACGGGAATGACTTCTGTGAATGAATGTGAAAGAATGACTGAATAAATACATGAATAAATGAATGAATAAATACATGAATGAATGAATGAATGATTACATGAATGAATGAATATATGAGAAAATGAATGATTACATGAATGAATGAATACATGAGTGAATTAATGATTACATGAATGAATAAATGAGTGAATGAATGATTACATGAATGAATAAATGAGTGAATGAATGAATGAATGAAAACATGAATTTAATGATAGACAGACAAACTTATGAACAAACAAATGAATGAATGAAAGATAATCATGAGTATTTTCAATAAAAAAATAAATAAAGAGAGAAAATTATTTCTAGTACTATAAATCCAGTTACCAGTAAGGTTATGGTCATCATCCAGAATTTTCCTGCTATCTTTAGACTGCCCATACTTTACAACAACTCTTACTTTTTCCTTGTGAGCTGTGGAATTTTTAAGCTATAAAATGATAAAATAAAACAAATTACAAGGACTTTCCATGTGCAGGATGCTCTCAGTGCTATTTGTCTGTTGGATTTAAATCACACTAACAATGTAATGGTCATATGGAGACTTTTCAGCTTTACTGGTGGAGGAAAACCTCAGATGCCCCTTCCTTCATAAATCTCAACAACAAAATATTTCCATTCCCGTCATGTAAAAAATGTCTCAGTAAAGTCCCTTTTAAAACATAATGTTATATCTGTGTTCAATAGATATACATACATTACCTATTTTATTTTCGGATGTCAAAATGGAGGCATTCAACATTATAAAATTTGACTTTTGAAAACATTGCTTCAAGGATGAAAACATGAGCTTGACACAAGTAATTATTTATCACAACGAACCAAAATATACTCACTTTGACTGTTAAGGAACAAGTAATACTGTCCCCCTCTTTACTTGCTGGTTGTTCATACTCACTATTTTCTTTAATGTAACACCAAAACTTAAAGAAGTAAAAAAAGAAATCATTTAGTTCTTACAAACTTTAAAGTCAAATACATGTATGAAGCAGTGAGAAGTGGCAGGGGAATTTGTCTGTCATACCTTCACATATTGATGACAAGAAGTCACTCAGTAGTATTCAATGTAACATATTATATAGAGTTAGACATATCAGTAATATGATACTGCTTGTTACACCTTGTCACATAACAGTTTAATAACTTACTTCCAGTAGTTAATGAAATATTAAGAACAAAAAACCTTAACCAAGAACTTGGCTCCACAGGAAGACAACCCTCTATTCTCTTTTATTGTCAAACATACACTGGCACCCCATAATTATGCTCAAGTTGGGGTCCAACTTGTTTCAAACCATGATATCAACCAGGTCCTGATATATAATGCTCTTCTCAGAATCATTTTTTTAGAATTAGAATTACCCCACCTACATAACTTTACAAATAACTAGATTGTTGGTTTTCCTACATAACTTTACAAATAACTAGATTGTTGGTTTTCCTACATATCTTTACAAATAACTAGATTGTTGGTTTTTCTGTTTCAATTTTTTTTGTTTAATCTTACTTTATATTTATTTAAGTTTCCAAGTAAGTATCAACTATGCTTTGAAAAGAAACAAATAAATTATATACATACTGATGATGCATTTGGAAGGTTCGAGCCTCTAATTGTTACAGCACTTTCTACATCAGTTGGAATGTAATGTAAATCCGAATTGTCCTCCAACATTGGGCACTGACCTACTTCTCCCTGTAATAAATCAAACCTTATGACTTGTTATTCCGAAAAGAAGGTCTCTGCAACTTTTATAATTATTAAATGAGTCAATGTGAACTCAAGTTAACCTTAGGGCAGGGTCAAAAGTTTTAACACAAGGATCATGTTTTCTAAAAAAAAAATACAAGGGCAACAGTTGCAAAATACGCCCACCACAAAATTTTCTGACAAAGATGTGGGCATTATAGAAATGCATATAGGATATACTCTGGGCAATTTCAGGACAATACAATATCTGGTTATTTTATAAGCTCTAGACCCTGGCCTTGAAAATATTACCCTTAATTACATGTGTCACTATTGTAGTCATGATACTTGTCATTTGTATTACAATCCATCAATAAATAATGATTAAATGGTTTTGTACACATTCTTCTGTTATAATTATTCTTTTGACCTCTCTCTGTGACCTTGACCTTGGTAGCAAGGATCTGGATTATGTGTGCAATACTTAGTCTCAAAATGGTGAACGTTTTTGTCAAGTTACATTCAAATTCCCCAATGAATGAATAAGTTTCGCTCAGATTAAGCATTTTACAATGACCTCTAAGTGTGATAATTGCCTTTAACCTAGACCTGGTTCATGCTTTTAATTGAATTAAATCACATCATGTACATATCTGTCCGGACACATTGTACTGTAGTGTAGACAATTTAGGTAATTTTGATACCCTCCTAATGTCGAGCCTTAGATATAAGTTTCAATACACTCAGAAATAAACTAGAACTGCCACTATCATGGCGTGAATACCCCCGCATATCACTTTGTCAGAATCAACAGTGGCCATTTAGAGCTCAAGGACAACCTCCCTGCCAAATCTGAGGTTACTAAGCCAGTGCATTGCTAAGTTATGTATTCTACATGCTTCAAATGTGAAAATGTCAACATCAATACAATGCGGACAGGACATTCTTTAGCAATTAAGAAGAAAAGCTTTTTTTTTGTCAAGGTCCCTGTGACCTTGACTTTTGACCCAGTGACCTCAAAATCAATAGGGGTCACCTTATAGTCATGATCAACATCCATGACAAATAAAAAGACTGTGGGTCAAAGGGTCTTAAGTAAATGGGTGGACAAACTTTTTGAAGTCAAAGTCCCTATGACCTTGACCTTTGATCCAGTGACCTCAAAATCAAAAGGGGTCATCTACTAATCACGATCAACATCCATGCCAAATATGAAAACTGTGGGTCAAAGGAATCTAAAGTTATTGGGCAGACAAACTTTTTGAAGTCAAAGTCCGTGACCTTGACCTTTGACCTGGTGACCTCAAAATCAATTGGGGTCATCTACTAATCATGACTAACCTCCATGCCAAATATGAAGACTGTGGGTCAAAGGAATCTTAAGTTATTGGGCGGACAAGCTTTTTGAAGTCAAGGCCCCTGTGACCTTGACCTTTGACCTGGTGACCTCAAAGTCAATAGGGGTCATCTACTTATCATGACTAGCCTCCATGCCAAATATGAAGACTGTGGGTCAAAGGAATCTTAATTTATTTGGCAGACAAGCTTTTTGAAGTCAAGGCCCCTGTGACCTTGACCTTTGACCTGGTGACCTCAAAGTCAATAGGGGTCATCTACTAATCATGACTTGCCTCCATGCCAAATATGAAGACTGTGGGTCAAAGGAATCTTAAGTTATTGGGCAGACAAGCTTTTTGAAGTCAAGGCCCCTGTGACCTCGACCTTTGACCTGGTGACCTCAAAATCAATAGGGGTCATCTACTAATCATGACTTACCTCCATGAAAAATATGAAGACTGTGGGTCAAAGGAATCTTAAGTTATTGGGCGGACAAGCTATTTGAAGTCAAGGCCCCTGTGACCTTGACCTTTGACCTAGTGACCTCAAAATCAATACGGGTCATCTACTTATCATGACTAACCTCCATGCCAAATATGACGACTGTAGGTCAAAAGAATCTTACGTTATTGGGCGGACAAGCTTTTTGAAGTCAAGGCCCCTGTGACCTTTGACCTAGTGACCTCAAAATCAATAGGGGTCATCTACTAATCATGACTAACCTCCATGCCAAATATGAAGACTAAGGGTCAAAGGAATCTTAAGTTATTGGGCGGACAAGAAAAAACCGACGGCCGGCCGGACGGACGGACAAGCTGATTCCAGTATACCCCCCTTACAACTTTGTTGTGCGGGGGTATAACTAGTTTGTTAGTTAGAAGAACCTAGCTGAACTGTGTCAAATTTTTAGGTCTCTAGATTAAAAGTAATGAAATCTGTACGGAAAATGTTAAAAAAGTGTCCGGTTGATGGTTCCCGACCAGTAATGAGCATGCAGAACAATAAAAGCCCCCTTAAAAACATACCCAATAACAAACACAACAAGCTTTACTTTTTGTGCTTTTCCCCACCATTCGGGTCTGACCCCCACACATTTTTTGTTTGTTAAACTCCATTTTTAAAATTTGGGCCCCCTTCCCCATCCCTGACCCCATTTTTTTAACTCGGAAAAAAAAACCCATTTGATAACCCATTGCAATTATTTTTTTTGGGAAGAAAATGATTTTAAAAATTAAGAAACGTTAAAGGACAGTTTTGGGCCTAAACTATTCGAAAATTTGTCAAAAGGGGTTTTTTTTTTTGGAGTATAAAAAATTGTAGTTACCTTAAAAATACTTTTAAAATTGACAAAAAAGGGTTCCCAAACCCTTGTTATTAAAAATGTTTTATAAAAGAAAAATTCACTGTTTTATTTAAAAATGAATGCATGAAAATTGTCCCAAAAAAACACAAACTTTTTCGTTTTTAGGGAAAAGATAACAGCTTAAGAAAAGCAAAATTTTCCATAAATTTTGAAAATTGGGAAAAAGGGAAAGAAAAATCAGCCAAAATGAAAAGTTTAAAATTATGGATTTTTGGTCAGTGACCAACAATTTAAAATGATTCAAAAGGGCAATGAAAAAATTTTTTAAATTGAATATTTTTTTAATTTGGGTTTTTGGGCTAATGAAAAATTTTTGCATTTTTTAAACTTTAAAACCAAGAAAACCTTTAATTTTGAAAAGGGGAGATAAAATAAAGCCAAAACCCCCAAGAAGAATTTAAATAAAATTTTTGGGCCCGGGGTGACATACAATAATGACCCATCCCAAATAAATAAGAAAAATTTTTGGGTAAATTTTTATCTAATTTACCTAAAGAAAAATTAAAAGAGATATTTCCCTTTACAAAAAAAACTTTTTAACCCAAAAATTTCAAAAATTTTTAAAAAAAAGGGGGAAAAAAGGGAAAAATTTGTAAAATATTTTTGGCCCAGAAAAACTTTACTTGTCAAGGGAATTTTTAAACATTTTATAAAAAAAGTTTTTAAAAAGTTTAAAATTTTTAAAATATCTCAAGCAATAATGGAAAAAATTTCCCTTTTTAAAAAAAATTTTTAACCAATAAAAGACGCCGACGCCAGGACCACGACCCCCCGGGAAGGGGCCGGGGCGACAAAATTTAGTTTTCTTTAATTTCTTTAAATTTAAATTTTAAACCCTAAAAAAGAAAAAAAAATGAAAAGAACGTCACCTCAATGCCATCTGTTTAAATTTTTTTTAAAAATTTTATTTAATAAAAAAAAATCGGGGCCATTCACAGAAAAAACCCCTTTTGTTACAAAAAAATTCTGTTGGGGGAACCCCCCTAGGAATTTAACCAATGTTTAAATATCTTCTTTAAAATTAGGTAAAGTCTACTGGGGGTAAACTGGATTTTGTGCGGGGAAAATTAAAACTTTTTACAAAATTATAGTCCTTTTTATTTTCTTTTTGGGAAATTTTTTAAAAATATTTCAAAGGAAAACCCAAAAAACCTTTTTTTTTCCCTTTAAAAATTGGCCAAAAAAAATTTAATCTGTTTGGGTTAAAAACATTGGGTTTTTACTTTAAAAAATTTACAAAAAATTCCCTAAAGTTTCCAGGGGCCCCCAATTGAGGCAAAAAAATTAAACCACTTGCCGGGGAAAACAAATAAAATGTTGGAGGGGAAGCCAGACACCAAAATGAAAAAAATATTTAACCTTTTACTAAGCCAACTCAGGTTGAGCTTAAAAAAGTTTAAAAAAAAAAAAAAAAAAAATCTGGACTGACTTTTGTATATATTTTTTGTCTCACTAAGATCATAAAATGTAATGAAATATAGGCACCATATATATATTTACAAATTTATCTAAAATACAATCATGTCAAGGAATGTCACCCTATACTTACGTTTTGAAGGTGTTGCACTGATAGAATAGAAAATCTGTCTCTGCAAGCTTTACATTTGAAGGTGTTACCCTTATTTCCAACTTTGCATTTATATCATGGCTACTCACTGAAAATAATAACTCTTAATAATCTCCTTTCCTTAAAATTTACAAAAATTCAATTTTACTTCAAGATTTTAGCAGAAACTCAAAGTTTGGTTCATTAACAAGCACTAAAGTATACATCTTGTTTCATTTTACACAGATATTGTCCATAGAGTGTGTTACTGGTGGAGTAAATGTCTAGAGATGTCTATTAGATAAGTTTTTGACATGTTAAAACTAGTGCATCATTTCTGGCACAAGCCATAAGGGCAATTTTTCTAGCAGAAGCCAAAAAGGCATTATTTCTGGCACAAGTCATAAAGTGCATTATTTCTAGCAGAAGCCATAAGGGCATTATTTCTGGCACAAGCCAAAAGTGCATTATTTCTAACACAAGCCATAAAGGCATTATTTCTGGCACAAGCTAAAAGTGCATTATTTCTAGCACAAGCCATAAGGGAATTATTTCTGGCACAAGCCATAAAGGCATTATTTCTGGCACAATTCATAAGGGAATAATTTCTGGCACAAGCCAAAAGTGCATTATTTCTAGCACAAGCCATAAGGGAATTATTTCTGCCATAATGGCATTATTTCTGGCACAAGCCATAAGGGCATTATTTCTGGCACAAGCCATATTTCTGGCACAAGTCAAAAGTGTGAGCCCTTATTAAATCAAATTCTGGCACAAGCCCAAAAGGCATTTTTAATTTTTACTGGCACAAAGCCAAAAGTGTGTTATTCTTCAGGCCCAAAAGCCAAAAAGGGCATTATTTCTTATGGCACAAGCCACAAAGTGCATTATTTTTCTGGCACAAGCAATAAGGGCATTATTGTCTGGCAACGAAGCAAATAAGGGCATTATTCTGGCACAAGCCAAAAAGTTGCAAATTATTTCTGGCACAAGCAATAAGGGCATTATTTCTAGCGCAAGCCATAAGTGCAATATTTCCTGGCCAACATAATCATAAGAGCATAACTTCTGACCACTGCTATTTAGACCGGCATCTTTAGTCGCTTTCTGATCAGACCAAGCTTTTAAAATATGCCATTTGGGGATGGAAATACATGTGTAGGTACCAATTTGAGTTGCATAATGTTATCCAGTCAGTCATGCGTTGTTGGAAGATTAAAAAATATTTTTTTTTTTGGCAAACAACACCTTATTTTTTCCCCTACTGCATAAATAGTTTTAAATTTCCTTCCTTGCTTTTCAAAATAAAAAAGTTAACTTTTTTTTCTTTGGAACAGAACCTAAAAAAAAGTTCCTTTGCCTTTCCCTTGAACTCATTGCCCTCCTGGCAAAATCCCAATTTAAATAATTTTTACTCCGGTCCCTCCCGGGAGGTGCCTTTCAATCAACTCCCCCCCATGGATCTCCCCGGGTCCCTTGGGCTTTTGGGGTTAAAAAATTACATCTTTTGGGGAAAAAAACCCCAAAAATGCAAAAAACGTTGGGGGTCTACATTTTTTTAAAAATAACACCCGGGCAAACATATTTTTTTAACCCCCTTTCTTGATTTTTGTTAAAGGAAATTTAAGATTTTTTAAAATAAAAAAAATTAGGGGTTTGGGGGGTAAAAAGATTTTTTTGTTATGAGAATTTTGTTTATTTGCTGTCTTTAGTAACAATAAAAAGGAAATAACTTGTGAAATTAGTGAATTGTGTAAAAATCAATAAATAAATGACATTTACCTGGACGGCTTTGAATACAGCCGTGGTGCATGTAAAGTGAATTTTTACAGTGTTATCTATTGATAGAGTAAATGACTACAAATAGATGCTGATTTATCAATTCATTGTTTAAATTAAAATTGATCCCATAATAAACATATAAATATATATTTTGAACATTGTTCAACAAGTTTGGAAAATGATTGCCCAATCATACTCAACCATTTACAATATGCATGAACATAGATTACCACAGTGCACCGTTAAATACTCATTTGGACACAATGGAATAATAATTCCTAATATTTAAAAGAAATGACAAATTTGACAAACTGATGTTTGTTTTTTTTTTTTTTCGGTTTTACGTCACACCGACAAAGTATATGTCATATGCTGACATTCCAGCTTAGCTGGTGGAGGAAGAGATCAGGTGCCCTTCCGTGCATTATTTCAGGCATGAATGGGCACCTGAGTAGAACCACTGACGTTCCGTAAGCTAGCTGGATAGCTTCTTCACATGAAAGAATCCAAAGTCCCTGTCGGGATACATACCCACAAAGGGTTTGAGGTGCACGGGGTTTTAAAGAAAACACCTTAACCACTTCGGGCCACGTATCCCAAAAAAATGATTAAAAAAAACATAGTTGTAATTATCATGTTCCCGATTAAAACGGGGCCCAGGTCCTATTTTTAAAACCTTGGTTGGCTCGATTTTGATCTCTTTAACAAATTGGGAAAATTGCCTTTTCCAATTTCCCAAAGCCGAACATCATAAAAAATTCGACTTGCAACCCATTTATGCATCCTTCAAGTGAATTACTGGAATTCAAAATATATATGGGTTCACCTTTTAGCATGAAAATAACCTTTTAAAAGGACATGAAGTGTGTGACATGTCCGGGGCGTCTGTGCCTCTCAGGTGGCCTAAAAGGACGGATGGACCCTCATTAAGCATAGAAAACACACACACAGACTCTTTGATCAAACAAGTATAAAATATACCATTTGGTGTTCTGCAGGTAAACACATTTCCATTTCTTCTTGCTCTAGTACTTTTCATAAATGAACTCCCAAGGAAAACACAATCATATGTATCACCAGTTCTGTTCTTTGGAATGTTATCTGAAGCAGTCACTGTTATCTGAAAGATACATAATATATTGGGAATTATCTTCTTTTTTTTAACAGTCATCAAAATGGCAATTTTCTTGCTTTAACTGGTAAAAGAATGGCTAAAATATCTAAATAAGCATTATTTTCAATCCATTATTGAAGCATAATCAACCTCAGCCTTTGGTAAGCTCTCACAAATGAGCTCACAATAAATACATGTAATGAGTATCTCCAACATGACTTTCAATCAGGGGCCATACTACGAATTCAGCGGTCAATAATCTTCCTTATATTCTGATTTATCTTGTATTCAATTACAAATCTTTTTTTTAGGAAACAAACTGCACATTTAGTTTATACAGAATACATTCCAGTGAAATGAAAGATACTATAAAAAGAGCTGTCAGTATGACAGAGCATGCTTTACTAATGTTATGGCTTGATATTATATCTTAAAGGAATTAATGAAAAATGTATATTTCATTTCACTTACATAACAACAGTGCCCTAGATAAACATAGTTTTTATCATTTTTGACAAATTGATTTTGCAAAAAAAAAAAAAAAAAAAAAAAAAAAATTAAAATCTGTCACACTAATACCAATTAAAAATACTGAAAACATTTGCTGAAGCACCGTACCATTCAATCCACAATAACATTATTCTTAATGGTTGTGATATTGCACATAAAACTTTAATCAAAGGTTATGACTGGGCCGATTGCGTATCCAATTTAGTAGGATAGCCACACTACTCTTCCAACAGACAAGAAAAAAAAAGAACAAAAAATGCAAGTAATGTACATTAAGCATCAGTATCACTTACACTTATTTCTGTATTCACTTTTGTCCCCGCCGGTTCAACTCTAAGCTTAACACATTCACCTAATGATGAGAGCCAATTGTTTGGATCATTAGACCCTGTACATTTAGACTTTCTTGTTGCTCTGAAATAGATCAAGATTCAAAATAAATACAGAAATACATGGCTTTTTTCACTATATCTTTCTTTTATTTACTTTAGTACATGTATACAGTTGCCCATATTACAAAGTACATGAAGAATTATTTGATATTTTCTGGGAATTATACTGTTTTTGTCCCTATTACAGATTTATGTCTCATGGCAGTATGTTTAATCAACAATATTGCCTTCACAATTTATTAAAGGGACTCCACTGAGGTTTTTTGACATGATGGGACTGGAAACAATTTTGAGATTTATGTTCAGTTTGATATAGGTCTAGATCAATAACTTGTGAGCAAAATTTTAGATCATTTACTCAATCCGTTTTTCCACAATAATCATTCTATTTCTGAAACATTTTTCACTCAAATCTTGCTAAGAATATCACCAAAATAAAATTTTCAATTTATTTCTGAACTATCTTTGGTTATATTTCTGTTTTAAGTGCCCCAGCTGATCTTTGTAAGAAATCAAAATGTTTTGTTTTAGGCTCTTGGACGACCTCCGTGGAGTTCCTTTAACCTTGTTAAAACAAGAGCCCGGTTTGAGCCGGGTGATGCTCCCCGAATAGGTTTTGGACACAGGAAAGTACACCTCATGAAGTTTTAGAGTTATGTCCATGGAAAAAGTTTAAAGTCCAAAATAAAGCAAGGCAGAGTTACTGTTCTTTGCACTGCACTTCTAATCAATGTGATCTATCAACCTACAAAGTTTCTTGATGATATCTCTTATGATTTCCGAGTTATGTCCCGGACAACTTCAAAAAGTAAAAATAAACAAAGGGCAATAACTCCAGAATTAGGCAAGGCAGAGTTATGATTCTTGTGCACTGCACATCTACCCATTGAGATATATCTACCTACAAAGTTTCATGTTGATATCTCTTATAGTTTTACAGCTATGTCCTGGACAAGATTTTTCAAAAAGGGGAGATTATTAAAAAATGAGGCTTAACAGAGTTATGGTTCTTTTGCACTGCACCTCTACTCAATGAGATCTATCTACCTACAATAATTCATCTTGATATCTCTTATAGTTTTAGAGTTATGTTCCGGACAAAGTTCAAAGTGTTAAAATTAACAAAGGGCAATAACTCCAAAATTAGGACAAAAAGAGTTATTGTTCTTATGCACTGCACATCTACCCATTAAGATCTATTCACCTACAAAGTTTCATGTTGATATCTCTTATAGTTTTAGAGTTATGCCCCGGACAAGATTTTTCTATAAGGGGAGATAATTCAAAAATGAGGCTTAACAGAGTTATGGTTCTTTTGCACTGCACCTCTACTCAATGAGATCTATCTACCTACAATGTTTCATCTTGATATCTCTTATAGTTTTAGAGTTATGTTCCAGACAAAGTTCAAAGTGTTAAAATTAACAAAGGGCAATAACTCCAAAATTAGGACAAAAAGAGTTATTGTTCTTATGCACTGCACATCTACCCATTGAGATCTATTCACCTACAAAGTTTCATGTTGATATCTCTTATAGTTTTAGAGTTATGCCCCGGACAAGATTTTTCTATAAGGGGAGATAATTCAAAAACCGGGCAAAATAGAGTTATGGTTCTTTGACACTGCACTCCCCCTCAATGCCCTCTTCCAGTGTATGAAGTTTCAACAAATTATCTCCATGGGTTTTCAAGTTATGCTCCGGACAAGACAACGGACGGACGGACAGACGGACAAGGCGCCGACTATATGCTCCCCCGAAATTTTTCGGGGAGCATAAAAAATACACAACTATTGCATTCAAACATTATGACATGCTTTGTCAAAAAAGTGGAAGTAAATCTTCTTACTTTTCCAATCTGAATTCTGAACTTGGCTTGGTTAGCTTCCTTACTTGAAAGCAACAAATATCTCTTGCAAAATCGAAACAACAGTGGTGAGAAGAAATGTTTCAATTTCAAAAACATAATTAATCAGTGCTTTTTTCCTACAAGGGTTTAATATAATTAAACAAGAGCACCGCTTGGCAGAGCATTATATTCCTAAACTAGAAATGTGTCCATATAGGACACGGATGCCCCCACACGCCACTGTTCTGTCAATCTTATGACTCTAGGTCAAATATTTTTTGGACTACATGTGCCACAAGTTGAAAACTAAAAATCAACAAAGGGCCATAATTCTGTTAAATTTGGTCGCAGCAAAAATTCCTTCCTTCACTACCATCTACACATTAAGGTTGTTAATCCCTGGAAGTTTAAAGACGTTTCCGGGAGTAGTCACTGCGCACATAAACCGCGCATGTCACTTTCCGTCACTTGTTATTTATTTCTTTTTTTGCGTTGGGTTTAATTAAAGTTTTTAAAGATTTTTTTGTTTCTATACAATTTTGAAGATTGTCATAAAGCATAGATCCCTGACCTATCTTATTCTTATTATCAGATTAGTGGTTAAATCTGTTGTTAACTCAATAAAAGATCAGAGTAGGAATATATCAATGCACTTGAGTCTAGTGAATTTGATGGTGAAGGTCACATTTCACACAGCCTAAATTTCATGACTACATCAAAAGGACAACACAGTAAGACACTTTGTCAAAATCTAGGTCAGCTGATATCAAAGTTCACTTTACATCTTAATCTGTGCTGATGGTTCAAAATATTGCAAAATATCTAACCTCAAGCATTTGTCAATTGCTAGAAGAACTTTTTTTTAAAGTTTTTACTATAAGTTTTTACTATATACATAAAAGGAAAACCAATGGTCCCCCCCCCCGGGTGGGGCCGATTTTGACCCCAGGGCTATAATTTGAACAATCTGGGTAGAGGTCTACCAGACAATGCATTATGCAAAATATCTAAGCTCTAGGCCTTTTGGGTCTTTACAAGAAGGTATTTTAAGTTTTTACTATATGTACATATAGTGAAAATCAATGACCCCCGGGGCAGGCTGATTTTGACCCTTGGGCTATAATTTGAACAATCTTGGTAGAGGTCTACCAGACAATGCCTTATGCAAAATATCTAAAGCTCTAGGCCTTTTGGGTCTTTACAAGAAGGTATTTTAAGTTTTTACTATATGTACATATAGTGAAAATCAATGACCCCTGGGGCTGGGCCGATTTTGACCCCAGGGCTATAATTTGAACAATCTTGGTAAGGGTCTGCCAGACAATGCCTTATGCAAAATATCTAAGCTCTAGGCCTCTTGGGTCTTTACAAGAAGGTATTTTAAGTTTTTACAATATGTACATATAGTGAAAATCAATGACCCCCGGGGCAGGTTGATTTTGACCCTTGGGCTATAATTTGAACAATCTTGGTAGAGGTCTACCAGACAATGCCTTATGCAAAATATCTAAGCTCTAGGCCTTTTGGGTCTTTACAAGAAGGTATTTTAAGTTTTTACTATATGTACATATAGTGAAAATCAATTGCAAAAAACGCAATTGTCTTAAAAACCTGTGCGTATTGTCATATTCATCACCGCAAAATTAATCTGTCGTATGCTCGTAGTTTTGGACAAATTATATCGATATGCATGCTATCCGAATATTCCCGAATTAATGCTAACTAATCAACGGTCTCCGGTCTTCGACGGTTCCCGGTCTCCAAAGATCGACTTAGCCTTATCAATAAACAAGAGGGCCATGATGGCCCTATATCGCTCACCTTAAGGAATAGATCTTAACTGGATTTTTCTTATTTAAAACAAGCAACATGTTTATAAAATACTTTAATGTTATTTAGTTAGTGTTTTTGAGCAAGAGGAATGCAATCAAGTGTATAGAAATACCTCTTTTTTCTTTTCTTTAAAGTATAGGTTGCTAAAAAATACACTCCCTGTAGTGTGTTTACATCATGAAAATTTTAACAATGACATCATAATTAACAAGGCGAAATACAAATTTGGATAATACTTCAATAAAAATGGGTCAAAGACAAAAATGGGCGGGTTGAATTTGTATACCAAATAACATGACTCATGAGGCTGTAATGTTACAAAAATGTACTACCATTGACCAGTAATGTCGAACATTTTACTAAGTCGGTAAACAGGAAGTGGATAAGCGATAGACCTGAACTTGGGACCACATATTAATGCAGTCACATTACCAAATATCAAGAGGCTGTGTTATGTAGTCGCTGAGAAAACTGTTACGGAAATTTCCTTCCATTTACAATTAATGCCAAAAATTCAACTAAGTCATCAAACGGGAAGTGGATGAGCCACATACCTGAAATCATATCCCATTGTATGTGACTACATGTTGATGCTGCATACCAAATATCAAAAGGCTGTGATAAGTAGTTGCTGAGAAAATCGTTAGGAAAAATTCCTACCATTGACCATTATTATGAATTTAATTAAGTCAGTTAACATGAAGTGGATGAGTGACAGACCTGAAATCGAATCCCATAGTATGGGACAATGTGTTAATGCTGTATACTAAATATTATGAGGTTCTCTAGAGTAGTTGCTGAGAAAAATGTTACCAAAAATGGCCCAACCAATTTGCCTGCGTGCCCGGAATTAAGTCTCAATACATGATGGTAAACAGTATTTTTTTTTGCATATAACCAGTATTATAGTTGTACCAGATATCCCATTAGTGTTTAGATATTGAAATAATTTTTGATAAAGGTGTTTACTCAGGGGTATCATGTTGGGGACAGGATCTAACCCCAAGCATCTATGGTTTATCATATTTGGACATCCCTTTCTACAAAAACTTCTTCCTGTTCACATGAGTGGCTCTATACACAGGTTTTAATCATAAAATAAAATCATGTAAAACAAACAGCAGGGATCTCAGGAAGGTCAGAATTTCATGTGGCAGACTGTTTGGCCAAAAATTTTCATGAGTCAAATCAGTTTTTTCTTGTGTTATTTTTCTACACGAATCATCATGTTTTCAGAAATTACTGTTTGGGAAGTCATTTAGAGTAGATTTTCAAGTTTAAATTGATAACTATTGTAAGGTTAGGCAATTATAAGCTTCTTGCTTAGTTAACATGATAAAG